GGGAAATATTTATACATATAACATATTGTATTGTTATTAAGCAAACAAAGCATCATTTACACATAATGTATATACAAGTGAAATGTATAATTCATAGTACATAGATTATAAAAGTTAATGTCTGTATTTTCTACTGATATGTTATAATAGTAAAATAAAAAAATGAAATTCTTTTTAATAAATTTAAGGCTATATAGATTACAATATTTATAACGAGACTTTAAACTTACAAATATATTTAAATACTTGTATTATTAATTTTGTTCTTGTATTATTATATAATTGATAAAATATCATATAAAATACATAATTAAAAATTAATAATATAGAAAAAATCATATAAAAGTGCCGAAGAGAATGAAATACAAGTGTTCTATACATCATGATAATTTGTTTATATTCTATTAATTCTATCAATAAATTCATTAGGAAAATTGTAATACTTTTCGATACATTGTAACTGTTATTAATATGCAAGCTTTTTAAAAATAAATGATTACATTGTATGAATTGTTATTTGATTTTGGTAATTTTATATAAAATAATATATTTAATCAATAATCATTAATATCATTTATAGAATATTAGATTCGTATTATAGATAGAAACAATTGTGGTTTAAGAAGACAATATTGTCAAATACATTTAACAGTTTACAATGCAAGAAAACTAATGCGATTGAGGTAGTATTTTGTAATATCTCAATTCGTATTGTATGTAAAAAGATTACTTTTAAAACTCAAATTTTACGAACGGTTTTAAATTGTTTTTAATTAATATTAACATTTTAATATGCCATTAATAATTAAATTAATCAGAATAATTGAGTTTAAGGAATATAAAAATAAAAATATCGAAGTATTAAAGATAATAGTATGTATAAGGATCAGCACCATTTAAAAGCCTATATTGTATCGTATTATAATACAACGTCATGTATAAAATACATTGCGCTTATTTTTAAAACATAAAATATAAGATAAATCAAAGATGCTTTCTTTCTTACAAAACTTATAAAATAAATTAATATTTATAGGATATACAATTGACTAGTATGTTATAAGTCCACGTTGTTCAAGTTAGCTGCAGATCCAGTTGGCAAGTCTGGTGGTACAAACTTACCAATAGGTTGTATTGCCTGCCTTTGTTCTGCCAGTTTACGCATCTCTTGTCTAAGTTTGCTTAGAATAGCATGATTTGGTTGATTGACTGCAGCTTTACCTTGTAACAACGTGATTTCTTGTTCTAATTGTTTCTTTTCCTTGAAAGATTTTACACTCCGTGAGCCATAAAGCCTTAGTAAAGAACCCCAAGATTGAATATGAGGATGCATAAGCTGCAGAATGGCCTGTGCTGCTCGTTGTTTCCCATCTTTCTTATTACGACATACCTAGAATTACAAATTTTTTTAAATATATAAATTTTTGTCAAAGTACAAAAAGAAATAAAACAAAACAAGATAAATATAACATATTAATAGATTTACTTACTTTCCTCTTCTTTAAAGAAAATAAGTAAGGAACAGATAAAAGTACAAATAAAACTAGAATATTTTAGTTATATCTAACTATAATAGTTAATATATCATAATTTTACTTACAACAGTAGCTTCGTGTTTGCCAACACGCATTGTAAATTCATTGCGTTGATGCTTCAATGTGT